TAGACCAGCTTTCTTTTTATTTGCATGGAATAACTTTTTCCATCCCTTCATTTCCAGTCTGTGCATGTTCTTAGATCTGGAGTGAGTTTCTTATAGGCCATATATAGATGAGTCTTATTTTTTAATCCATTCAGCTACTCCATATATTTTGATTGGAGAATTTAGCTCATTTACATTTAAAGAAATTATTGGTAGGTATGGACATACTAATGCAGCTGGCTCATTATCTTCTAGCAGCTTTGTAGTTCCTTTCTTCCTATTTTGTTCTCTTCTGTGATTTCATGATTTTCTGAAGTGGGATATTTGTATTATCCTTCTTCTTTATGCATTTACTATACGTTTTTGCTTTGCGGTTATCAGGAGAATTACATCAATTATATAATCATCTACTTTAAGTTGATAAGAACTTAAACTTAAATGCATACAAAAGCTCTACATTTTAACATTCTCCCCCAATTTTTAAGATTTCTGATTGTCATACTTAATATCTTTTAGTATTATGTAATTAACAAATTATTGTCATTTTATTTTTAATAATTTTCTTTTAACCTTTATACTATAGTTTATAAGTAATTTATCTACCACCATTAAAACATTAGTTTTATTTACCTTTACCAGTGAATTTTATATTTTCAAATGTTTTCATATTACTAATTAGCTTCCTTTCATTTCAGCCTGAAGAACTCCCTTTAACATTTCATATTTTGTCTAGAAAACTCTTTAGCTCTCAATTCTGAAGGACAATTTTGCTGAGTAGACTATTCTTGGTTGGCAAATTTTTCCCTTTCAGCACTTTCAATATATAATCCCACTCCCTTCTAGCCTGCAAGATTTCTGCTGATTATTTTATGGGGGCTCCCTTTTATGTAACATGCTGCTTTTCTCTTGATGTTTTTAAGAGTCTGTCTTTGTGTTTAATTTCTGACAATTTAATTGTAATGTCTCTTGATGTGGGTCTCCTTAGAGTCATTTTTTTTGATACCCTCAGGCTTCGTGGATATGGTATCTGTTTCTTCACTCAGGCACAGAAGTTTTCAGCCATTATTTCTTTGAATAAGCTTCTTTGCTCCTTCCTCTTTCTCTTTTCTGTGGACACCTGTGGGGTAAAGCTCAGAATTTCCAGAATCTCCTGCCTGGTCTTAATTCATTTACATATCAATAGGTATTTACCACTGCAGCTTCCTGCAGCCTCTGGGGCAAAGGGTAGAGAGAGGATGGCTGTTCTTTCCTTCCCTCCATTTCTGGTAAATAATTGGTCTGGCAACTATCAGTCCCAGGAAACCCACCTGTGAGCTCTTCCCAGAATGAACAGGTGGAGAAGTGAGCATGCACAGTGACTGCAGAGACTGAGAAGACTGCTAGCAGGGACTGGGAGAAAGGAGAGGGTGCACGACAGCCAGAGGGGATGGAGCTGAGTCTCACTGTGAACAAGAAAAGAGTTTCTCCCAACCTGCCTTTCCCTTGACTGGTTTCAGTCCCATCAGTTTATTCACCCTGGGCCAGGTACACGCCCTGGAGATACAACACCTATAATGTGTATATTGGTCTGCTTGTGTCCCCTAAGTTCCTTAATTTAACTTCCCTGTTGCATTCTTTTTTTTTTTTTTGCTCCTCTGATTGGATGAATCCCACTGTCCTGTCTTCAAGTTTCAACAATCCTTTCTTCTGCTTCATCTAGTCTCCTGTTTAATCCCTCTATTGAATTTTTCAATTTAATTATTGCATTTTCAGCTCTGTGATTACCTGTTTGGTTCTTTTTAATATTTTCTGTCTCTTTGTTGAAATACTCACTTTATTCATGCACTGTTCTCCTGACCTCTGTAAGCATCTTTATGACTATTATATTGAACTCTATATTGGGTAAATCACTTACCTTCATTTCATTAAAATCAATTTCTGGAGATTTATCTTGCTCCTATTGATTATCACAGCTAGGTGATAAAGGTCCATCCCTTGAGCAGCAAGCCTAAAATCTGGACTGCTAGGTGTATTAACAAGCTCCTTCCTGGGAGATACAGGCAAGTTGGTGGAAGGTGAAAGGAAGGGAAATTGCATTAAGGCTCTGGGGAAGAGAGAAGCCAGCAACCATGTGTGGTAATTAGAGGCTAGACCCTCAGCCAGCCGCTTGTGAAGTATGCAGTCAAACCCCTTCCAGAAAGACTGGGAGATGGGCATTTTTACCTGCTCCCTCTGCACTGAACCTTGGAGCACTGAACCCACAGCAAGTATTTCCATGCCTGTTAACAACTGCTTCTTTGCTTGCTGTAGTCCTGTAGGACTTATAAATGCAAGACTTGCTAGGTATCAGATGCTAGGAGATTTGGGAGCACTAAATGTGTGCGAAAGGGAAATGCTGGTGACGTGGTTTATTGTTGAAGTGAGCTGCAGGTAGAAGGTGGGAGATGTGCCCAGGCTCCAAGGGGATCACAGAAAGTTCCTAGAAGCATGCTAATTAGAAGCTGGACCCTCAGGCAGAAACCTATAAAATATACAGTCAACCTCCTTCCAGGAAAAGACTAGGAGAAGGGCACTTGTGCCTGCTCCCTCTGTGCTGAGCTCCAGGGGCATACCCATGGCAAGTTCTTGTGTTCCCTCTGCGCACTCACTAAGAACTACTTCTTTATTTCCTACGGTCCTGTGGGGCACATGGAAGCAAGTCCTGATGGTTTTCAGAGCTAGATATTTTGGGAGCCCATTCCTCAGATGGGAGTCTTCAAGGTTAGAAGACTAAATGTACAGTCCAAACCTTTTGACTTTCAGGGAGAAGCTGGGAGTTGGGGGTCCCCCCCTGATCATATGGCACTAAGCTGGGGGTGAGGTTTATGGGAAGAGTGTGTCTCAGGCTTTCCTACTCATTTCATTGTAGCATTTTCTCATTTGCCAAATGAGTTGGAGTCACTCAGATAGTTTCTGGATTTCTCTTAGAGGGAATTGCTCCATGTGTAGCTGTATTCAGTGTGTGGGTGTGCGAGGAAGGAAATTCAGGAACCTGCTGTACCACCTTGGTCCCAAGTCCATACTGAGGTTTTTGATATTTGCCTCCATTCTTTTCAATTGAGAACTGTATTTTAGTCTGGTTTTTTTAAAGTTGGTAATATCTCGGTCTTTAGTAGCGAGTTATATGTACATTATTATGCATTTAAATCACAGAATTTGACCCCAGGTTTCTTGCTCTGAAACACTACCAATATAGTAACACTAATAATGCATTTCCATGCATTTCTTTTTGTTAATAAATCACATCTGAACATTTTTATATGGGGAGAATAAGTTAATGTCAGTTACTCAAAAAGAAACCTCATAAAAAACAATGAAATATCTATCACATACATATTAGAACAACTAAAATATAAAACAGTGATAACAAGTTAATGCTTTGAGGCTGGAGAGAAGCTGAATGTCTCAAACACTCCAAGTAAGAATCTCTGAAAAACAGCCTGGCAGTTTCTTGCAAAACTAAACATGCACTAACCATATGACTCAGCAATCACACTCTTGAGGATTTACCCCCAAAGAAATGAAACCCCTATGTTCACAGAAAAACATGTATATGAATGTTCAAAGAAGCTTCATTCGTAACAGCAAAATACTAGAAACAACCCAAATGTCCTTCAGTGGGTGAAAGGCTGAACAAATTCTACACATATAAAAGAATACTCGTCAGCCATAGAAAGATATGCAACATCTTATGCTGACCAGAAAAGCATTAGGTTTAGTGAAAAAAGTCAGTCTCTTCATCTTCCTCTGTATAACCATTATGTTTAAATTACAGTTAATCAATTGTCTCTATAGGATCTACCTCAGTTCTATCTACACAGATAGTTATCAATCTATAGTTATCTATCTACATAGTGTGAATGTCTCTTAAGAATCATCCCAAGATGCTAACAAAAATGGCTCTTCCACAAGGAATGGGTAAGGAAGGAGGTGTCCAACTTCAGAAAGCTTTTCCTTAGCATACAACATTAGTACTAACATTTCCGCAATTTGATTACATTTGACTCTTAAAAATGATTTTCACATTTTAGATAACCTAGATTTCTCTGAGTGTTATGATAGGAATAGTGTTAAAGATTCTAGCAAAGTTTATATATTTTTCATATTACATTAAAAATTTATCAAAAATATGGTATTTTTCCTTAGGAGAATTTTTTAAAGACTTTAAAATTTGAAATTTTAGCTTTTTGTAATTATAAGCACACATTTCTCCCCCAATATATATTCCAACTTTGCTATAACAAACACCTGGAATATTAAATGTAGTTAACTTTCACTTAGAACATATTTTGAAGAATTGCTGTTTCATTTATTAATGGATTTCCCTCAATATCATTTTAATATTAAAAACTAAAATGACAGGAACACTTATTATGCCCCATCCTTATACAGTAGAAGTAGGTTTCCCAATTCAACCATGCCACACACTCTGCTTCCCTGCATTTCACACAGCTGTCTTACCCCCAGTCAACTCAGTTTATAACTTTCTTCCAGGGTAGTAAATAAATCCTTACGCATTCCTTTAAGGCAGATTTTACTAGGTTCTTACATAGAAGGCAAACAAAAGCAGCTTTGTTCTTCCCATTATCTCTCCCTCTTGCAAGTCTCACACAAAACACATATACAAACACCTATTTTCTGAATTCAACTGAAGAGCTTAATAATTGAGACCACCAGAACGAAAAAAAAGGAACTGCACCAGCAATAGCCATTCATCAACAAAAGAATTCCAAAAGTCCACTGCAATTGAAGGATAGTTGTAGAAGATCACGTAATAAAATACATCTTGGGATAGAAGCAGTCAGTAATAGGAGAGACAAAGAGTGGCAGAACAGCAGATTCATAAAAGAAAAAGTAGAGAGCAGAAGATATAAAGGGGAGGCAGTGGTTTTGTTATGTTATTGTCACATATCGAACTTACTTCTCAAAACTTAGAAAAGGAATGCAAAACAAGCAAACACATAAAAATAAACAATCACAAAGACATGACAGATATTTCATACCTGAGTGGTGATGGCCAAGTATTAGGATCCTGAAGTACCACACCAAGGGCATAAAGGACAAGGGTCTGTGAAAAAAAAAATTAGTTAGTCAAGGCCTAGCAGAGAAAAAATGACTCCTAGAAAGTCAAACTGATCCTAAATGTTATTTTGATATAGATATGAATATAAAATAATAATAATTAAAGAAAACACAGGCCATTATTTTAGTGATCTTATAGTAGGGAAGTCCCCTCACCGACTCATGTCACAAAATTTGTAAGCTATAAAGGAAAAACATACTTAATTATATGAAAAGTAAAAAACCTGTATCCATTAAAAACAAAACAAAACACATCATAAGCACCAGTAGAAGGTAGATAATAAGAAAAAAAATACCTGCGATAATTTACAGATAGTATATAAAATTTAGAAATAAGCTCACTAGAAAGTGAATTTTAAGCAATAATTCACAAAAGAAGAAATATGAACTGTTAACAAATGTATGAAAAGTTGCTCCATCTTCCCAGTGAGTACAGAAAAGCAAATTAAAATATGAGACAATTTTTCACATAAACTTCACAAAACATGAAAGATTCAAAAATCCAGAGGTGGTGATGATATGGGGAGAAAAAGCACTCTCCTACATTGCTGCTAAAAATATAAATTCCCATTCCCTTTTAGAGGGCAATTTAATTTTTTTAAATTAAAATATCATTGCTCTACAATCTTATGAAGGTTTCACATGAACAACATGTGGTTTCAACATTCCACCCATATTACCAAGTCCTCACCCCCTGATTGCAGTCACTGCCTATCAGCAAAGTAAGATGCTATAGAATCATTACTTGTCTTCTCTGTGCGGTACTGGAGGGCAATTTATTTCAACATACATATGTACTTCAACGCAAAAATTCCACTTCTAAGACTCTACCTAGTATCTCTACAAGTACGCAATTTGCAATAATAAAAAAATTAATGTCAGTCAATTTTCATCAATGGGAATATTAAATAAATTATGGAACATTCATACAATGGTATACTATGTATCCATTACAATAATGAGCTGGCTTTGTATCAAGTGCCAATTGTATTAAGAGCCATGATACACTCAATAAAAGGAAATTAAAGAACAATACATGAAGAATAACTTTTCACATATAAATTCATTTTTTAAATACATATATATATATATATATATACACACACACACATACAGAGTAACAAATATATACAGAAGATCCACAAAAAGCTATTGACAGGAGCACCAATGGGAAAAGGAGGCTTTATATACTGTTTGACTTTAAAAAAAAGCATGTATTATTTAGCCATGTAAACAATTATGTCTTTGATTTATTGGACACTTTAAACAATAAAATTTACAAATACACTCTAAAACAGTTGAGAAGAATAACTGAATGAGTTAAGTACACCAAATATTTTCTACCTCTCGAGGAATAATGAATTTGTCAATCTTTCCTTCAATATCTTGAAGCCGAGCAGAAACTGGGGTCAGTTTGGCAGTCCGAACAGATTCACAAAGCACTTGCCGACAATATCTGTTAAAAAAAAAATTTTTTTTGAAGATTCTTACCTTAGGAGAGGCAAATTGAAATGTACATAAATTAAAAAATGAAATTCAACAACTTTCATCACCTTCCTAATTTGAAATACTCACATCATAATTCTCATTTGCCTTAAGGTATGTGATATATTAGAAATATATTAAGTCCAGGTGGATAAAGATTTAAACAAATAAAAACACCTTTAAAAGTACCAAAAGAAAACTCAAAGATAGTATTTTCAGTTTCTGAGTAGAAAATTCCTTTATTTCTATAAAGGATTTTTTTAAAAGTGAATAAAGGACTTCTCTTTTAAAAAATTATAAAAATATGACACCATGACAGAAACCATAGAGAAAAATATTAATAATCTAACTATGGAAATTTTTGTATATACTAAAACTAGGAAAAATATTAAATATATCCTTAATGTATAAAAGATATTTAAAGATCCATAATTGAAATAATTAAATACTCCAACAGAAATATGGGGAGAGAATATAAAAAAGCAATTCACACAAAAATATAAAATGGCCTGTAAACATGATATCATTCTCAACTTCATAAACAATGGAAAGATCAACAATCAAAGCAATTTTTTTTTACTTGCCAGATTACCAAAAATGAAAAAGAATGACAAAAGACAATACTAATTTAAAAAGGAGAAAAGACAGTCATATTGCAGTTGGTAGAAGTATAAATTATAGTATAACCACTGTGAAGGGTAACTTGGCAATATATATATATGAATTTTAACTACCACAATGGGAAAATAAAAAAAGGTGAAATACATTGAAATCTTACCAGGAGCCAGTTCTGTTAAATATTTTCTATGCAGCCTATCGCTTAATCCTCATAACCTCATAGGTGCTATTATTATTCTAACTTAATAGATTTAAAAAATGAAGCACTTGTTTAAGATCATACAGCAGGTAAGTGCTGTTGACAGGACTCAAACTCCAGTCTGTCTTACTTCACAGCTCCCTAATCATAAATATTGTACTAATGCATATATATTTAAATAATAATCTCATTTTTAGGACTTTATTAATAGAAACTATTTGAAATATTAATAAAGATGTAAACATAGGAATGCTGTTTAGAATATCTAAAAACAACAAAAACAAAAGAGGAAACATCCTTTCCTCTTTGAACAAACTATTTATTGGGTACCTAGTACACTGGAAGCACTTTGTTAGCTACTGATACAACTGTGAACAAGACAGATGCCCACAAAGGAATTCGAAGACCAGTTGGCATGGGAGAGAGTAAGGGACATCAAGGATGAACAATTTAAAAAGCACAGTAACTGTTATGATAAAGGAAGTTAAGGGTTATCAGGGAACACATGGCAGGCACACCTAACAGGACGAATTTGCAGAGAAATATACTTAAGTTCAGACCTGCAGAAGAAACTCAAGTGAACTAGAGGAGAGAGGAAGAGAAAATCTAGACAAAGGAATAGTCTGCGAAAGTCAGGAAACAAGAAAGAGGCTATACCTTTGAAGGAACAAAAGAATTTCAGGATATAATCCCAGGATATAAAAAGGTACAAGTAATAAGAGATAAGGTGGGACAGGAATGCAAGGCCAAGCTCTTGAAATGCCTCATAAATTATGGTAGTAATTTTAAATTTTATCTTAAAGACAACCCGAAGCCAATGAAGGCATTTAAGCTGGAGAGTCATATGACCAGATAGGACTCCCCAGATAGATCACTACTAGTACAGTGATTCTCAACTCTGATTACATATTACAATCATCTAAGAAGCTATTGAAAACTTCTGCATCCAGAAACTGTTGCTTTGGGATTGGTCCCAGGTTATCCACTTTTAAGGTATCCAAAGTGATACAGAGTGCAGTCACAGGCTCCAGGAGTAATTTGGTGAATGGACTGGTGAGAAGCATGATCCAAAGAGATTGAAATACCCCAGACAAGGTGAAGGTGGTCTGGAAAAAGTGGGGGCAATGGACAGCATAACTTGATTATTGACTGGATGTGGTGGAGTCACTATTTATAAGAATACTATCCACAAAACAAACAAATAAAAGGCATCCAGATTGGAAAGTAAGAAGTCAAACTGTCACAGTTTGTAGATGGCATGACACTGTACATAAAAAAACCCTAAAAAGGATTAAAGATGGCAGCGTGAGAGGAGAGACAGAGGCTTCCTCCTAAAACTGAATACAATTAGAAAATACAGTTGGCATAACTAATCCTGAGAGAGCAACAGAAAAGAGGGTGGCGTCAGACTGCACACACCTGGAGAAAAGAGTAGACCTCACCGAATGGGGTAACGTACCAGAGCTGTGGCTCTGCTGGACCCGAGCCACTCCCCCACCCCAGCTCACCGGTGGGAGGAAGAGAAACAGAGCAGGGAGGGAGTGGAAGGCTTGGGACTGCTGAATACCTAGCTCCGGAGATCTGCTCTGAGAGCACAAACCTACATTTCATGGTGCTTTCATGAGATTCGCATGACTACCGGGTTGGAAAGTTAATACAGGCAGTCTCCTGGGGAGACTGGGATTCCGGCCACTTGTGGAAAGCAGGGATCCATATCCCCCTGATCTGGGACAAAAACTTATACCTGTGTGCCCAGCCCACTGGCTCAGGCAGTGGAGACAGGCATAGCAGCCGAGAAGGGGGGTACAGTTCTTTCTTACCTCCAGGCACCAGTACCGCTCCCCTGTGACCCCCAACATTGCTTCAGGGGCTGAGCAGCTCCAGAGACTAGAGCTTCAGGACACTAGAGGGTGCTATATACAAACATGAAATGCCAAAGGAACCTGATCCAGAGTAAAATTATTAATACAACTTGCGAGAAAGATTTAAATGATATGGACTTTGTGACTCTTCGTGAAAAGGAGTTCAAAATAAAAATCATCAACATTTTAATGGAGATACGGAAAGACATCCAAGAACTCAGGAATGAATTCAGGTAGGAGATCCAATTGTTGAAGAGCAGGATGGAGGGTATTAAAAGAAGGCTGGACACGGTGGAGGAGACAATAAATGAAATAGAAACTAGAGAAGAGGAATACAAAGAAGCTGAGGCACACGGAGAAAAAAGGATCTCTAAGAATGAAAGAATATTGAGAGAACTGTGTGACCAATGGAAACGGAACAATATTCGCATTATAGGGATACCAGAAGAAGAGAGAGAGAAAGGGATAGAAAGTATCTTTGAAGAGGTAGTTGCTGAAAACTTCCCCAAGCTGGGGAAGGAGATAGTCTCTCAGCCCGTGGAGATCCACCGATCTCCCAACACAAGGGACCCAAGGAAGACAACACCAAGACACATGGTAATTAAAATGGAAAAGATCAAAGATAAGGACAGACTGTTAAAAGCAGCCAGACACAGAAATAAGATCACATATAAAGGAAAGCCCATCAGGCTAACATCAGACTTCTCAGCAGAAATCTTACAGGTCAGAAGGGAGTGGCATGATGTATTTAATACCATGAAGCAAAAGGGCGTGGAACCAAGATTACTTTATCTGGCAAGATTACCATTTAAATTTGAAGGAGGGATTAAACAATTTCCAGATAAGCAAAAGCTCAGAGAATTTCCCTCCCACAAACCATCTCTACAGTCTATTTTGGAGGGAGTGCTATAGATGGAAGTGTTCCTAAGGTTGAATAGCTGTCACCAGAGGTAATAAAACCACAATAAAGAAAGTACAACAGCTAATTACAAAGGAAATGCAAAATTAAATTAACTATCCCCAAAGTCAATCAAGGGACAGACAAAAAGTACAGAATTTGACACCTAATATATAAAGAATGCAGGAGGAAGTAAAAAAGAGGAGAAATAGAAAAGAACCTTTAGATTGTGTTTGTAACAGCATACTAAGTAAGTTAAGTTAGACTCTTAGATAGTAAGGAAAGTAACCTGGAACCTTTGGTAACCACGAATCTAAAGCCTGAAATGGCAATAAGTACATACCTATTGATAATCACCATAAATGTAAATGGACAGAATGCAACAATCAAAAGACATAGGGTAAATGAATGGATAAAAAAGCAAGACCCATCTATATGCTGCTTACAAGAGACTCACCTTAAACCCAAAGACATGCACAGATTAAAAGTCTAGGGACGGAAAAAGATATTTCATGCAAACAACAGGGAGAAAAAAGCAGTTGTTGCAGTACTACTATCAGACAAAACAGACTTCAAAACAAAGAAAGTAACAAGAGATAAAGAAGGACACTACATAATGATAAAGGGTGCAGTCCAACAAGAGGATATAACCATGATAAATATATATGCACCCAACACAGGAGCACCAGCATATGTGAAACAAATACTAACAGAAGTAAAGGAGGAAATAGAATGCAATGCATTCATTTTAGACTTCAACACACCATTCACTCCAAAGGACAGACCCACCAGACAGAAAATAATTAAGGACACAGAGGCACCGAACAACACACTAGAACAGATGGACCTAATAGACATCTATAGAACTCTACACCCAAAAGAAACAGGATACACATTCTTCTCAATTGCACATGGAACATTCTCCAGAATAGACCACATACTAGGCCACAAAAAGGGCCTCAGGAAATTCCAAAAGATTGAAAATCTACCAACCAACTTTTCAGACCACAAAGGTATAAAACTAGAAATAAATTATACAAAGAAAGCAAAAAGGCTCACAAACACATGGAGGCTTAACAACACGCTCCTAAATAGTCAATGGATCAACGACGAAATTAAAATGGAGATACAGCAATATATGGAAATAAATGACAACAACACCAAGCACCAACTTCTGTGGGATGCAGCAAAAGCAGTCTTATGTAGAAAGTATATAGCAATCCAGGCATATTTAAAGAAGAACAAACCCAAATGAATAGTCTAATGTCACAATTATCAAAATTGGAAAAAGAAGAACAAATGAGGCCTAAAGTCAGCAGAAGGAGGGACATAATAAAGATCAGAGAAGAAATAAACAAAATTGAGAAGAATAAAACAATAGAAAAAAATCAATG